GAGGATCTCTCACTGTGAGAAACTTGGCACTGGGTACTGGGGGATCTCTCACTGTGAGTAACTTGGCACTGGGTACGGGGGGATCTCTCACTGTGAGTAACTTGGCACTGGGTACGGGGGGTTTCTCACTGTGAGTAACTTGGCACTGGGTACAGGGGGATCTCTCACTGTGAGTAACTTGGCACTCGGTACGGGGGGTTTCTCAAAGTGAGTAACTTAGCACTGGATACGGGGGGATCTCTCACTGTGAGTAACTTGGCTCTGGGTACAGGGGGTTTCTCACTTTGAGTAACTAGGCACTGGATATGGGGGGGTCTCTCACTGTGACTAACTTGGGACTGGGTACGGGGGGATCTCTCACTGTGAGTAACTTGGCACTGTGTACGAGGGGTTTCTCACTGTGAGTAACTTAGCACTGGGTACGGGTGGATCTCTCACTGTGAGTAACTTGGCACTGGGTACGGGGGGATGTCTCACTGTGAGTATCTTGGCACTGGGTACGGGGGGTTTCTCTCTGGGAGTGACTTGGCACTGGGTACAGGGGGATCTCTCACTGTGAGTAACTTGGCAATGGGTACAGGGGGATCTCTCACTGTGAGTAACTTGGCACTGGGTACAGGGGGATCTCTCACTGTGAGTAACTTGGCACTGGGTACGGGGGGTTTCTCACTTTGAGTAACTTAGCACTCGGTACGGGGGGATCTCTCACTGTGCGTAACTTGGCACTGGGTACAGGGGGTTTCTCACTTTGAGTAACTAGGCACTGGATATGGGGGGGTCTCTCACTGTGAGTAACTTGGCACTGGGTACTGGGGGGGATCTCTCAGAGTGAGTAACTTGGCACTGGGGGTTTCTCACTGTGAGTAACTTAGCACTGGGTACGGGGGGATCTCTCACTGTGAGTAACTTGGCACTGGTTACGGGAGGATCTCTCACTGTGAGTAACCTCGCACTGGGTATGGGAGGATCTCTCACTGTGAGTAACTTGGCACTGGGTACGGGGGGATCTCTCACTGTAAGTAACTTGGCACTGGGTAGGGGGCATCTCTCACTGTGAGTAACTTGGCACTGGGTACGGGAGGATCTCTCACTGTGAGAAACTTGGCACTGGGTACTGGGGGATCTCTCACTGTGAGTAACTTGGCACTGGGTACGGGGGGATCTCTCACTGTGAGTAACTTGGCACCGGGTACGGGGGGATCTCTCACTGTGAGTAACTTGGCAGGGGTACGGGGGGATCTCTCACTGTGAGTAACTTAGCACTGGGTACGGGGGGATCTTTCACTGTGAGTAACTTGGCACTGAGTACGGGGGATCTCTCACTGTGAGTAACTTGGCACTGGTTACGGGGGGATCTCTCATTGTGAGTAATTTGGCACTGGCTATGGGGGATCTCTCACTGTGAGTAAGTTGGCACTGGGTATGGGGGTTTCTCACTGTGAGTAACTTAACACTGAGTACGGGGGGATCTCTCACTGTGAGTAACTTGGCACTGGGTACGGGGGGATCTCTCACTGTGAGTAAATTGGCACTGGGTACAGGGAGATCTCTCACTGTGAGTAACTTGGCACTGTGTACGGGGGGATCTCTCACTGTGAGTAACTTGGCACTGGGTACGGGAGGATCTCTCACTGTGAGTAACTTGGTACTGGGTACGGGAGGATCTCTCACTGTGAGTAACTTGGCACTGGGTACAGGGGGATCTCTCACTGTGAGTAACTTGGCACTGGGTATGGGGGGATCTCTCACTGTGAGTAACTTGGCACTGGGTACAGGGGGATCTCTCACTGTGAGTAACTTGGCACTGGGTACGGGGGGATCTCTCACTGTGAGTAAGAATCCTGGCACTGGCACGGAGGATCTCTCTCAGAGTGACTTGGCACTGCAATGGAGAGGATCTTCCACTGTGAGTAACTCGGCACCGGGTACAGGGGATCTCTCACTGTGAGTAACTCTGGCACTGGGCACGGGAGGATTCTCTCACCGTGAGTAACTCTCAAGACTGGGTATGGGAGGATCTCACTGTAGCAACTTGGCACTGGGTACGGGGGGTTCTCTCACTGTAAGTAACTTGGCACTGGGTAGGGGGCATCTCTCACTGTGAGTAACTTGGCACTGGGTACGGGAGGATCTCTCACTGTGAGAAACTTGGCACTGGGTACTGGGGGATCTCTCACTGTGAGTAACTTGGCACTGGGTACGGGGGGATCTCTCACTGTGAGTAACTTGGCACTGGGTACGGGGGGTTTCTCACTGTGAGTAACTTGGCACTGGGTACAGGGGGATCTCTCACTGTGAGTAACTTTACACTCGGCACGGGGGTTTCAAAGTGAGTACCAGCACTGGGTACGGGAGGATCTCTCACTGTGAGTAACTTGGCACTGGGTACAGGGGGATCTCTCACTGTGAGTAACTTGGCACTGGGTATGGGGGGATCTCTCACTGTGAGTAACTTGGCACTGGGTACAGGGGGATCTCTCACTGTGAGTAACTTGGCACTGGGTACGGGGGGATCTCTCACTGTGAGTAACTTGGTACTGGGTACGGGGGGATCTCTCACTGTGAGTAACTTGGCACTGGGTACGGGGGGATCTCTCACTGTGAGTAACTTGGCACTGGGTACGGGGGGATCTCTCACTGTGAGTAACTTGGTACTGGGTACAGGGGGATCTCTCACTGTGAGTAACTTGGCACTGGGTACGGGGGGATCTCTCACTGTGAGTAACTTGGCACTGGGTACGGGAGGATCTCTCACTGTGAGTAACTTGGCACTGGGTACGGGAGGATCTCTCACTGTGAGTAACTTGGTACTGGGTACGGGGGGATCTCTCACTGTGAGTAACTTGGCACTGGGTACAGGGGGATCTCTCACTGTGAGTAACTTGGCACTGGGTACGGGGGGGATCTCTCTCTGTGAGTGACTTGGCACTGGGTACGGGAGGATCTCTCACTGTGAGTAACTTGGCACTGGGTACAGGGGGATCTCTCACTGTGAGTAACTTGGCACTGGGTACGGGAGGATCTCTCTCTGTGAGTGACTTGGCACTGGGTACGGGAGGATCTCTCACTGTGAGTAACTTGGCACTGGGTACAGGGGGATCTCTCACTGTGAGTAACTTGGCACTGGGTACGGGAGGATCTCTCACTGTGAGTAACTTCGCACTGGGTATGGGAGGATCTCTCACTGTGAGTAACTTGGCACTGGGTACGGGGGGATCTCTCACTGTAAGTAACTTGGCACTGGGTAGGGGGCATCTCTCACTGTGAGTAACTTGGCACTGGGTACGGGAGGATCTCTCACTGTGAGAAACTTGGCACTGGGTACTGGGGGATCTCTCACTGTGAGTAACTTGGCACTGGGTACGGGGGGATCTCTCACTGTGAGTAACTTGGCACTGGGTACGGGAGGATCTCTCACTGTGAGTAACTTGGCAGGGGTACGGGGGGATCTCTCACTGTGAGTAACTTAGCACTGGGTACGGGGGGATCTTTCACTGTGAGTAACTTGGCACTGAGTACGGGGGGATCTCTCACTGTGAGTAAATTGGCACTGGGTACGGGGAGATCTCTCACTGTGAGTAACTTGGCACTGTGCACGGGGACTCTCACTGTGAGTAAACCCTCAAGACTGGCACGGGAGGATCTCTCACTAGAGTAACTTGGCACTGGGCAATGGAGGATCTCTCCCACCTCAGAGTAACTTGGCACTGGGTAATGGGGATCTTTCACTGTAACTTGGCACTGGGCACGTGGGGACTTCTCACCGTGAGTAAATTCACACTTTCAGTGCTGTGGGAGATCACTGTGAGTAACTGGCACTGTGTAATGGGGATCTCTCACTGTGAGTAACTTAGCACTGGGTACGGGTGGATATCTCACTGTGAGTAACTTGGCACTGGGTACGGGAGGATCTCTCACTGTGAGTAACTTGGCACTGGGTATGGGAGGATCTCTCACTGTGAGTAACTTGGTACTGGGTACGGGAGGATCTCTCACTGTGAGTAACTTGGCACTGGGTACAGGGGGATCTCTCACTGTGAGTAACTTGGCACTGGGTACGGGGGGATCTCTCACTGTGAGTAACTTGGTACTGGGTACAGGGGGATCTCTCACTGTGAGTAACTTGGCACTGGGTACGGGGGGATCTCTCACTGTGAGTAACTTGGCACTGGGTACGGGAGGATCTCTCACTGTGAGTAACTTGGCACTGGGTACGGGAGGATCTCTCACTGTGAGTAACTTGGCACTGGGTACTGAGGGATCTCTCTCTGTGAGGGATATAATATTCCTAACGCTAACGATCCCTAGTGTTCACTTAAGTGACCAGTAGTTTTACATACCCTTTCTCCCCTACAGCACTGGTTGACGATCTCAGCGAATTCAAAGCATTGGGAGGTTAGTTGGGGAAATCAGATCATGTCTCTCTGATTGAAATAGTTGGGAGTTTTACTCTACTATGTGATGGAAGCCCCTTTAGTGACTTTCATTGTGACAACCACTACAGCAGGCCTAGGCAACCTTCAGCACTCCAGATGTTTTGGACTACATATCCCATAATCCTTTTACAATGACAATGCTGGCAAAGCATCATGGGAGATGCAGTCCTAAACATGTGGAGTGGTGAAGATTACCTACCCCTGCACTAGAGACAGGTTAGTCCTGAAATGAAACAATCGCCATTTCTGCAGAACAATGTTTTCAGTTGCAATGTTATAACAGGTGGTAGTTCTCCAACTCAATAGACACAGCTTTGTCTTTCTAACCTGGGCGCCCTGTTTTCAACTGACTACAATTTGGTGTTTAGTGATGTGAAATGCGAACCTGCCCCAGATTTTATCTTCTCAGACAGTTCCACCACATGTATGTAAGTAGTGGGCATTGGATAGCATTCCCTTCATCCCCCATAAAACCATAACTTACCCCTTCAAATAACGACAGACAACTTCTTGGAGAAAAACAGGCCACAGCATTTATTAACACAACCAAATACTGTATGACTCCTTTAACATATAACGAAATAATAAATATCATAAATTAACATAAACAATTTGCATATAGTCATACAGTAACCAAAGAAACCGCCCTTGCCAATCTAACTTCCCCAAGGCTCTCACCTCCCCCCCTCGGCATAATAAAAACATCTTCCTTTTCAGGGCTCCCCACCAACTCGGTGGGGCCCAACCATAATGCTCCCCACTGGTCGACTTACAACCCAGTGGGGACACATCCAACTTGGTACCTCCTCCAGGTTCACCATAAGAGACAGGGGGAGGATGAGACCCGGCCATTATCCCCCTTTTTCATCAAATCAACCAAACCATCCCTTATTTGGCAAGGACACACCCCTACCTCGCTGTGACAACCCCCCGGGCCCAAAGCAGCAAAGGGAGGGTGGGTGGGAAACTTGTTGCTGGCCCGGCTCCTAAGTGGCACTGAGGTCAGTCTGATCTGTCACCACCCACTTCCTCACATCTCACACTCCCACATGTAGCATATAGCCAATCATGCATCATCCATCCCACACTCATACATGTGCCCCTGTCCGCTAAGCTGTGCACTCTCCCTGGGGCCTTGTATGTACGTAGTGGGCATTGGATAGCATTCCCTTCATCCCCCATAAAACCATAACTTACCCCTTCAAATAACGACAGACAACTTCTTGGAGAAAACAGGCCACAGCATTTATTAACACAACCAAATACTGTATGACTCCTTTAACATATAACGAAATAATAAATATCATAAATTAACATAAACAATTTGCATATAGTCATACAGTAACCAAAGAAACCGCCCTTGCCAATCTAACTTTCCCAAGGCTCTCACCTCCACCCCTTGGCATAATAAAAACATCTTCCTTTTCAGGTCTCCCCACCAACTCGGTAGGGCCCAACCATAATGCTCCCCACTGGTCGACTTACAACCCAGTGGGGACATGACCAACCTGGTACCTTCTCCAGGTTCACCATAAGAGACAGGGGGAGGATGAGACCCGGCCATTATCCCACTTTTTCATCTAATCTTATTTGGCAAGGACACACCCCGCCACAACTCCGCTGTTTTAAGCCTAAAATCAGTGTGGGACCCCAAACAAACCAACCATGGCCTGTTCCACCGTCTCTAGAATGGACAGATTAAAACGGTCGTGCCCGACCTCAGTCAAATGAACCCCATCTGGCCGCAACAAATCTGCCGCCTCCTTCTCAAAACCTGATGAAATGGGCATTCCCCAAACCCCTATAACGAACCGCGAAACCCAACGGTGGAACCCTTCGCGGCAGCGCTCCAACGCACTCCAGATGTGTGCCGCCGCCAATAGTTCCTCGCCACGACCTCCGACCACACCATACAACCCGGAAATGACATAAGGATCTCATACATATATATACACTCATACATGTGCCCCTGTCCGCTAAGCTGCGCACTCTCCCTGGGGCCTTGTATATACGTAGTGGGCATTGGATAGCATTCCCTTCATCCCCCATAAAACCATAACTTGGTGCTACTTCTAAGTGCTGTTTCTAAGTGTGTAGTTGGAGATATTCTGGAGATAACCAGGAGGTAATTTGAGGTATTCAGGAGGATAAAGAAAAAAGTTAAGATTTGTTAGATTTAAATTATTCTCATAATTGGAATGGCAGACTTAGTTCAGTGTAACAATTGCTATGCATTTGTTTCACGTTCCACTTTTTGGAGGTCTGGTTGTTGTCTAATCTGTAGACAGTTCTCTATCTTGCGGCAGGAGATTGTATTTTTGAAGTCTGAGATTTGTAAATTATCTGGTGAAGAAACTCAGACTGGACCTGCTGCAAAGCCACTGCCGCAGAGACATGCTAGGAAAGGCAGATGGATTACTGTAGGATCTGGTAGACTTAGAGTTGTGCATAAAAGGCATTTTGCACAGTCTGTTGCTCTTCATAATTCATTTTCTGCACTTTCAGAGTGTAATGGTGTTGTGGAGAGAGGCACTGAGGCTAGTGGTGTTGTGGAGAGAGGCACTGAGACTAGTGGTGTTGTGGAGACCGGTTTGGAGACTATGGTGAGGCCTAACAGAAAGCAGTTGTTGTTGGGGGATTCCATTATAAGAGGTGTGGAGATGGACAATGGTGGTCTTGTGAGGTGTCTTCCCGGAGCTACTGCTCACAGAGACAGGAGATGTATCTGTAATATTGATAAGCAAGCAAAGCAGGAAGGGGAATTGGATGTACTTGTCCATCTAGGGACAAATGACTTGGCTTGCAATGAGGTTTCAGAGGTTAAGGAAGTTTTTAGGGTTTTTGCCAATGATATACGGCAGGTTGCTTCCACACTGTCATTCTCTGAAGTTCTGCCTGTGCATAACACTCAGAACGACAGGCGGATGCGTATTAGGGACTTTAATTTGTGGCTTGGTGAATGGTGTCGGGAGCAAGGATTTGGCTTTATTTCTCATGGTAGCTCTGTTTGAAATGGAGATAAGCTGTACAAAAAAGATGGTTTGCATCTTTCTCAAAAGGGAACAAATGTTCTCAGTGAGCAGTTCAGAGGTTTTGCTAGGATCTTTTAAACTAGAGGGGGGGGGGCAAAAAGGTGATAAAACATCAATCCAATTGTCCCCCAAAACAAGGACAGAAGGTGCCTGTAGCAAGTGTGTTAAAAAATGATAAGCTTAGAGTCATGTCTACAAATGCTTGCAGTTTAGGGAATAAGATCCATGAACTTGTGGCAATAATGGCAACTGATAGTGTAGATTTAGTCGCTGTTACTGAGACATGGTACAATGAGAAAAATGACTGGGACATAGCAATACCAGGGTACTCTTTATATAGGAAAGATAGGGAAGGCAAGAAAGGGGGAGGGGTGGCCTTGTATGTGAAGGATAGCATAAAATCTAGCCTAATAAAAGTTAGTGAGGCAAACATAGAGTCCGTTTGGGCTACGTTAGAATTTGGTAATCACACAGTAACTCGTGTAGGTGTGATTTATAGGCCCCCAGGACAAATTGAAGAGTTAGATAATCTACTAGTTGAGGAAATAGCTAAAATGACAATGAAGGGGGAAGTTATCATCATGGGTGACTTTAATCTTCCTGATGTAAATTGGAAAACAAAATTAGCTACTTGTGCCAGGAGCACACATATTCTAAACTCCCTACTGGGATTGTCTCTAAAACAAGCTGTTGAGGAGCCAACTCGTAAAGAGGCCATACTAGATTTAGTGTTAACAAATGGAGATTTGGTATCAGATGTTACTGTAGGTGAAAGTTTAGGATCCAGTGATCATCAGTCAGTGTGGTTTAATATAAGAACAGTGACTGAGTCACACCACACAAAACAAAAGTTTTAGACTTTAGAAAAACAGACTTTTCTAAAATTAGAATATGGGTAGAGGAGTCATTATCAGACTGGAGCAATTTAAATGGAGTCCAAGAGAAATGGGATTATTTAAAAGTTGCACTATTGAAGGCAACAGAAAATTGCATTAGGCTTGTCAGTAAAAGCAAAACATTCAAGAAACCACTGTGATACTCCGCAGATGTGGCCAAAATAGTTAAAAACAAAAAGTTAGCATTTAGGAATTATAAAAAAACCCAGAGTGAGGAAGACAAAATGATCTATAAGATTAGGCAGAAAGAGGCTAAGCAAGTTCTAAGAGCTTCCAAATCACACACAGAAGAGAAAATAGCACAGTCAGTAAAAAAGGGGATAAAACATTTTTAGATACATAAATGAGAAAAGAAAAGTAAAACAAGGATTAGTTAGATTAAAACAAAAGAAGGAAGGTATGTAGAAGAGGATAAAGGTCAGGGCTGACTGCCTCAATGAATATTTTTGTTCTGTATTTACAGAAGAAAATGAAGGAAAGGGACCTCAGTTGAGAAAAAGGATAAATGAGTCATTTATTACACGTGAGTTTACAGAGGAAGAGGTTCTATTTCAACTGTCAAAAGTAAAGACAAATAAGTCAATGGGATCTGATGGAATACACCCAAAGCTATTAAAAGAGCTTAGTGGTGTACTAGCAAAACCATTAACAGATTTATTTAACCAATCATTGTTAACAGGAGTAGTCCCAGAAGATTGGAAGTTAGCGAATGTTGTGCCCATTTACAAGAAAGGTAATAGGGAGGAGTCGGGCAACTATAGGCCAGTAAGCCTTACTTCAGTAGTGGGGAAAGTGATGGAAACCATGTTAAAGGATAGGATTGATGAACATCTAAAAACACATGGATTTCAAGATCAGAGACAACATGGGTTTACTTCAGGGAGATCATGCCAAACTAATCTTATTGATTTTTTGATTGGGTAACTAAAATAATAGATCAGGGTGGTGCAGTAGACATTGCTTACCTAGATTTCAGTAAGGCTTTTGACACTGTTGCACATAGAAGGCTTATCAATAAACTGCAATCTTTAAGTTTGGATTCCAATATTGTTGAATGGGTAAGGCAGTGGCTGAGTGACAGGCAACAGAGGGTTGTAGTTAATGGAATATATTCGAAGCTTGGACTTGTCACCAGTGGGGTACCTCAGGGATCTGTACTTGGACCCATTCTCTTTAATATTTTTATTAGTGATATTGCAGAAGGTCTTGATGGTAAGGTATGTCTTTTTGCTGATGATACTAAGATATGTAACAGGGTTGATGTTCCAGGAGGGATAAGCCAAATGACAAATGATTTAGGTAAACTAGAAAAATGGTCAGAATTGTGGCAACTGACATTTAATGTGGATAAGTGCAAGATAATGCATCTTGGACGTAAAAACCCTAGGGCAGAGTACAGAATATTTGATAGAGTTCCTAACCTCAACATATGAGGAAAGGGATTTAGGGGTGATTATTTCTGATGACTTAAAGGTAGGCAGACAATGTAATAGAGCAACAGGAAATGCTAGCAGAATGCTTGGTTGTATAGGGAGAGGTATTAGCAGTAGAAAGAGGGAAGTGCTCATGCCATTGTACAGAACACTGGTGAGACCTCACTTGGAGTATTGTACACAGTACTGGAGACCGTATCTTCAGAAGGATATTGATACCTTAGAGAGGGTTCAGAGAAGGGCTACTAAACTGGTTCATGGATTGCGGGATAAAACTTACCAGGAAAGGTTAAAGGATCTTAACATGTATAGCTTGGAGGAAAGACGAGACAGGGGGGATATGATAGAAACATTTAAATATATAAAGGGAATCAACACAGTAAAGGAGGAGACTATATTTAAAAGAAGAAAAACTACCACAACAAGAGGACATAGTCTTAAATTAGAGGGACAAAGGTTTAAAAATAATATCAGGAAGTATTACTTTACTGAGAGGGTAGTGGATGCATGGAATAGCCTTCCAGCTGAAGTGGTAGAGGTTAACACAGTAAAGGAGTTTAAGCATGCGTGGGATAGGCATAAGGCTATCCTAACTATAAGATAAGGCTAGGGACTAATGAAAGTATTTAGAAAATTGGGCAGACTAGATGGGCCGAATGGTTCTTATCTGCCGTCACATTCTATGTTTCTATGTTTCTATGTAAGTCCCGCTTCCCTATGTCCACCAAGTCACCGAGCGGCACCGTCCCCAGGTCAGTACCCCCCCAGGGGGAATGACCAGAACCAATGACACCCCCCCGCAAGCGAGAGAACCTGACTGTTACGGTACCTTCAGCATGAAATGTACAAACCGCCGTTTAGTGAATGCTCCCCGTTCGCAATAATGTAGGCTGTAAGCGTATCCAATACAACCATGCGAACTGCCAGCAAGGGAACACTCCAAAGTCCCGAACGGTATCCGTACGGTCACTTCCCTCCACGAGCTTCAAGCTCACGAACCGTCAATATCAGCCGAACGCCGGTATCTCCCAAGCGGCTGATAATTCCAAATAGCAGTCTCTAGTCGCCGGTAATAAAATCACCCCAATAACGAGACCAAGCTCTGCATTGAGGGTAAAACACGAACTGAGTTTAGTGTGGGCTACCCGCTCGTATTTATGCAGGTCTCCCACCTGGTGGACACTCCCCTAGGGGACCAAATGGGAGACTGGAATAGCAGATGGACATATGGCATTTCAGGACATACAGTCACACAATATTCCCAGCATACATAACAGTTTCCTCCACTATGCCCGGAAGATAATTGAGAAGTAATTCAATTATCTCCCAGAGCAGAGGCAAATCGCCATATTAAATACAAATCATAAAACACATAAAAATATATAACTTTATAACTGCCGAACATTTCTCATTCGTGTAACACATCCCAGATAGCCTGGATCTGAGTGCATATTATTGGCAAATAGCGCTCAGATCCCATACGCATAGTTCAATCGCCATGGAGTCAAAGTCTATTACAGTTCTTCAGTATGCGATTGACTCCATGGGAAGGCTATCTGGGGTAAGTCCATTCGTGCCTTTAAATCTCCCGAACGGCTGGTGTTCGCACACTTCTGTCGATTGGGGAAGGGAGGTCGATGGCATCAGCAGTGTTCGGTTGAAAAAGTGTCCGTTTTCAGTTCCATGAATTTAGTACCGAACACCGCTGGTCTTTTGCATGGTTTAAAATGGCCGCCGCCGCTGACATTCGAACGACGACCACCCTGTATTCGGTTTTAATTGAGAAGTGTCTGTGGTTAACCGCAACGTTCTAATTGGGATCAATAGGTTAACCAGCAGCACACTTCTCTTCTGGGTGGCTGTCCGTTCGACAGGATTGTTCGGTAAAAAAGTCAATTCACTTAAATCCATGCATACAAATGGGAGAGTTTGTGAAACAAGCAAACAGACGAACCCAGCAATCTTAGTTCATACGGATGGGTCTGTCACACGGACCACTTCCGGGAGGAGCCAGACCCACTTCACGTCCCCCCGGCGCTGAACCACCGAACCTCCACTGTCGAGTGCTCAATCATCCGCCCTGAGAAGGAAAAAACAAACAATCAATGGAGCAAACCAGCGTCCTGCACACCTGAGCAAATCTCCTAGAGTCCCACCTTCTTATCCTCCGCACATCCCGAGTCAGCATACCCAGCCGAGAGGCCTCCGTCGCAGCGCCAATGCGGAAAGAATGACCGCCAAACAAATTGAAAATGGGAGAGGAAGTTCTCCTCCTCGTGTACCATGATTGGGCCAGCCAGATACGGCCGTACTGCGGACTCCCTGAGCGCCCAGACTAGACAGGCGTCCAATCCTGGGACCGCTGCCAGCGGGACCCACCTGCCCTTGCAAAGGATGTCGGTCTTGTATGGAAGAGTCTTGACGGACACCGGGTCCTGACCATCCCGGACATCCGCAAACAGAATCCTCCCCTACCGGCTGACCAGTTCGGACCCACCAATACCCCAATCCTCATGGCCCCAAAGAAATGGTGAGGAATACCTCTGGGAGCACCTGGCACACAGCACCCTAACACTCTGACCGCACCCTAACATTCTCACACAGCACCCTCACTTACACAGCACCCTAACATACTCACACAGCACCCTAACACACACAGAGAACCCTAACACTCACACAGCACCCTAACATGCTCACACAGCACCCTCACTCACACAGCACCCTAACACACACACAGCACCCTAACACTCACACAGCACCCTAACACACACAGAGAACCCTAACACTCACACAGCACCCTAACATGCTTACACAGCACCCTCACTCACACAGCACCCAAACACACACACAGCACCCAAACACACACACAGCACCCTAACATACTCCCACAGCACCCTAATACTCACACAGCACCCTAATACTCACACAGCACCCTAACACACAGCACCCTAACACTCACACAGCACCCTAACACACACACAGCACCCTAATATACACAGGACACAGCACCCTAACACTCACACAGCACCCTAACACTCACACAGCACCCACACACAGCACCCTAACATTGACACAGCACCCTAACACACACACAGCACCGTAGCACTCACACAGCACCCTAACACACACACAGCACCCTAACACACACACACAGCACCCTAACATTGACACAGCACCCTAAAACACACACAGCACCCTAACACCAGCACCCTAACACACACACAGCACCCTAACACACACACAGCACCCTAACAAACACACAGAACCCTAACACTCACAATGCACCCTAACTCACACAGCACCCTAACACTCACACAGCACCCTAACATACTCACACAGCACCCTAACATACTCACACAGCACCCTAACACACACACAGCACCCTAACATACTCACACAGCACCCTAACACTCACACAGCACCCTAACATACACACACAGCACCCTAACATACTCACACAGCACCCTAACACTCACACAGCACCCTAACACACACAGCACCCTAACACACACAGCACTCTAACACTCACACAGCCCCCTAACACTCACACAGCACCCTAACAAACACACAGAACCCTAACACTCACACAGCACCCTAACACTCACACAGCACCCTAACACACACAGCACCCTAACATACTCACACAGCACCCTAACACTCACACAGCACCCTAACATACACACACAGCACCCTAACACTCACAGCACACTAACACACACACAGCACCCTAACACTCTCACAGCACCCTAACACTCACACAGCACCCTAACATACTCACACAGCACCCTCACTCACACAGCACCCTAACATACTCACACAGCACCCTCACTCACACAGCACCCTCACTCACAGAACCCTAACACACACACAGCACCTTAACACACACACAGCACCCTAACACATAGCGCCCACACACACAGCGCCCTTAGACACACACACAGTGCCCTCAGACACACATACTGCACACTCATACACACATACTGCACCCCCCACACACACACAGCACCTTCCCACACACACTATACTCCTCACAAATGCACACTACACCCCTCACACACACAGCAGCCCCCAAACATGCTGCACCACTCACACACACACACACACACACTAAATCCCCTACACACAGACGTGGCACCACCTACACACACACTACATTTCTGACATACACACTCTGGATCCCCTATGCACACACTAGATTCCATAAATGGGATACCATGAGTATGGAAACCCCTGAGACAAGTTTCAAGCAAACACAACGCAAGCATGTTATTAAATTTGCTTGCGCTGTGCAGAACCAATAAAGGGCCCTTTTCTGGAAGAACATTGAACCAACATGCTCACTTTGAGATGGGGCGTGCTTGTCATTGGGGCTGACAAAACACACCCTATCTGGCCCTGCCCCCTTTTCAGTGGGCCGCTGTGAATAAAAAATGCCCGGGCCGAATTTTTTCCTCAGTCCGGCCCTGACGCCATTATGGCCCAAAAGGAAGTGGACCCACCCAGAGGGGGGCACCCACTATACTGGCAGGTCAGCCTGGCTTGAATACAGTATATACTCATTTTATCTGGCCCACAGAGGTCTGACCCAGCAGGAAAACCATCTTAACACTAAAGCGTTAGGAATAGTGTACAAAGTGTATTTCCTAACACTATGGTGTACCCGTCTCTAGTTTATTGCCTCTTCTTTCACCATAAACAAAAAAAAAAAGAGTTTTGCTTACTTTTTTCCCACGCAGAGACACCCTTGGCGCTGCTCACCTCCCCTACTTTCAAAATGTCATGGAGGAGGAATGGCCCAATCTAATGCTTCTCACAGAGCACATCCTAGCTTCCCCATAGGAAAGCATTGAACGTCACTTCAGTTGAGTTGTATTAAGTCGATGCAGTTATATTAAGTCGATGCAGCAGAAACTCCTCCAGTTGCTGTCAGTATAACAGCCACTAGAGAGGCGTATTTAACCATTTAAATATTTCTGCAAAAAGACAGGGTTTTACCTTGAAGGGTTAAAATGAAGAATCTGTGCACGAAACAGATGTGCGTGAAAAAAAACACTTTATAAAATATTTTTCAGAAAACACAGCTTACATTCATATGCTTGCCGGTCTGTTATATCTATTGATATTCTTTAAGATGCATCTAATGTATCTGACCTCTGTGAGCGCATGATATGCAATTATAATTATCAAATTTCAATACAAATGACTCATATTCACACATAAAGATACTGTTTTCCCTGTTACATACAAACTGGTTTGATCTCGATGAATGTCAGTCCTTGACGCCCCCATTATGTGTCATTTATAATGCTTCGCTTTTCAAATCAGTTCTTGCCAACATATTCTTTCCTGTGTTTCCTGTCTGAATGAGGCGATGGAAAAAGAAATATCTATTTTTTGTAAAAAAAATTTTACAGAATTCTACAGCAACAGTACCAAACAAATGTGGATTGAAAGGAATATACCGAAATAAAGGAGGACAAATTGATTGTGAAGGATTGTAGCAATAACAAGTGTGAATGAATGAACAAGCTGCTCGGACGAAACCAGTGGGTAAAAAAAACACCAGTGTCGCAGTATATAAACAGAGATATTCACAAAGCTATTTTGGCATTAAAGCATCACTATAGGGTCAGGAACACAAACATGTATTCCTGACCCTATAGTGCTAAACCCACCATTTAGCCCCCCTGGGCTCCTCATGCCTCCATAAATATAGTAAAAATCTTACTTTTATTCAAGCCTGAAGCTGCTGGCTCTGCCCTGTCTGCCTGAGACCTGCAAGCTGTCTGATGACATCATCAGAAGTGGTGGTCTGATCCAATCACAGTGCTTCCCCATAGGACTGGCTGAGGCTGACAAGGAGGCAGATCAGGGGCAGAGCCAGCATGATTCAAACACAGCCCTGGCCAATCAGCATCTCCTCATAGGGATGAATTGAATCAATGTATCTCTGAGGAAAGTTCAATGTCTGCATGCAGAGGGAGGAGATACGGAATGTTTGGATGCATTTTAGGCAGCCATGACCCAGGAAGGATCTCTAACAGCCATCTGAGGAGTGGCCAGTGAAGTTATCACTAGGCTGTAATGTAAATTTGGAAATGTTTGTCTATTCAGTTATAATCACAGGTTGGGTATTTGAACCTAATTTTTGTGAATTGAGGTGAATTAATGGGAGTGCGGGGGGAACAACACTGTTTCTCAAAACGTAGGCCTTAGTGGCAAAATTGGAAAAATATTAACTCTATCAACTCATTTTAGCCAACAATTAAATTATTGATATAAAATGCTTCCTGGAAATGTGATTAATTTACCCCAAACCATCTATCCATTACAAAGCCAGAAACCATCAGATTAAAACCCAGATAATATCAAGGATGGCAATTACAGGACACTGTATGTCATATCCACTGGGCATCTAGTTGCAGTTTGTTAGCAACACATCTAGAACAATGTAGACTGTCATTTTATTTTCTGTAAAGTACCACCATGACAATTTGGTACAAAGGAAAACATTTTGCATTTGTGGCGCTAAATAAACCAATATAATTTCCTTTCCAATGAATAGTGGATAACTGATAACACGATTTTATAAATGACAGCACTGCCACCTGCTGGATGGACATGAATTTGCAGATCTAAATTATTACTATAAAAAAGTGTTAAAAAAACAGAATTGCAAATAAAACATAAAAAAGCTGCGTATTATTATACATTCTGCAGGCTATTTCCAAGTGTTATAGCAAATGCATCAATATAAAGTAAATACATATTCTGTCCAGCGAGTTTTATGAAAATTTTCATTTTGGGTTACATTATTATAATTTTTTTATTTATATAGCGCCATCAGATTCCGCAGTGCTGTATATTTTTGAATGTGGTTGTATAGTATTCATCCCCCCCCCACCACCATAGTTCTAAAATAGAAAGTTGAGTGAACACCTTAAAGGAACACTCCAAACACGTAAATTCCAAAATAAATGGGCAGTTTTATAAATTAAAGGGACACTCCAAGCACCAAACCAACTTCATCTAAATGAAGTTGTTATGGTGCCAGGAGGCCCTGGGAGGTATTCTTACCTTCAGGTGTTAAAAAGTTCTAGAATGGTTTAACCCTAAAGTTGCCTCCAGCGGTGATATCCATTACTCCCCTGGCGGCGTCTGGTTTATGAATTTTCAGATTCAAGAAGTACAGAGTGCCACTAGGTATGGGCACCGCTGATTGGCTGAGAGCAGTCAGATGTCAATCGGTGACTCCCTATTCACTAAACTGGCTTGAGAAAGGTATGTGTCTTTCCAAGCCAGTATAGTAAATGATTGACCCAGCAGCAATCCACGCTTCCTGAATCTGAAAATACCGGGGAGGAGAGACATTGCTGCCTGAGGCAATTATGGGGTTGAACCCCAAACTTTATTTAGATTAAGTTGTTTTGGTACCTGCAGTGTTCCTTTAACCAAGTTACAGTCCCCTAGCTGTTACTTCCTGGTTGTGTATCTCATAGATAAACTCAAGAGGCAGCAATAGCCCACAGCTCCTGCCTTGCAAAGACTTCTCATTGAGCTGCAGTGGAAAGTCTGTGATTGGACGGCCACAGAACGTCTGGGCGGGGTTAGAAGGGGAGGGCTTGCAAAGGCTGCAGACAAGAGAGCTTTTCAAATTTGTTTTCAGAAATAATTAATTGCACACATTTTTGTACTAAATTGTTAAATATATTTATATTTTTCCCATTGGAATGTTCCTATAAGAACACGTTTATTGAACCCTTCTCTCCCAACACACATTTCACACACTAGATTTCATTGCGTTTTGCAGAAAAACAAAATCTATTAAAGAAGACTACTCACAAATTATTCTGCTCACACACTTATTGCCTTAAATAAGAGTTTTCAGTGAATTACAAAGTAATTAAGTTTTTCTATTTTGGTCTACAATTTGAAACTTTCAACTCCTGACAATTCAATGACACATGTATCATAGGAGGTAATACATGCCACAGGTCTGGATATAAGAAATCATTGGGACCTTTCCATAGCGTGCTCCCAATATTCAGAGATCGTTGTTATGTATCCTGTCTCTCCATAGTTCTACACACTGAACTGCTATGTGCCAGGTTTTAAATAAATGTTACATTTAGTTTGTTTTAATTAAAATTCACAGGGCAGTCAGGTATTGAAAAGCTTCTTTATGTATAGAAATGATTTTAACGGTGACGGAGCTTGCAATCAACCGAGTCGGACCTCATTTCTATCAGCTCCTCACAACTGTCATAAATCTTGCCAAATATCTGCACCCCACAAACCCATCCAGCCCCACAAAGCAGAGATCCAGCTTCTTGGAGGCGAAAGACACCTGCCAATGCCATTCTTTCAGCCAGCCAAACCTGAGGCGTAAGATTGGGGCCTATCACGCACCGCCGATCCAGAGCTTGGAGGCACTAGTACAGGATATCGCAGAGGGAAGCAGCCCGAGCACTCTAAACCCATCGCCTACCTGGGAATACCGTAAGCCAGCCATGGGGTGTCAATCCCAGAAACCAAACACTGCAGTTGAAGGCAGGGACAAAGGCTCCATGCTCCAGTGGCCTGCACAGCCCAGACTGACTCCTGCGGAGGCCACACGGGATACACCCTAGGCCGCCGGGGAGGAAAGCAACGAGGCTGAGACCACACGTTACTCAGATCTGCCCGACTCCATCACTGGAGACTAATGACGGCTCAGCACCCACAACTAAAGATGACCTAAAGGTCCTTCCTGAAGACATTCAAAAAATATGGGCCGCAGACCTGACGCTCATCAACACTAACATACAGGCAGTTACAGACAGAGTGCAAGCGTCCGAGGAGGACATCATTGACATCCGCACGGATGTCTCTAAAGATTCTATTAAACAGATCCAAATACACCAGCCGGCCCTGTCACTCAGAATGACTGCCTTTGAAGACAAGCAACACCGCAATCATATTCAGATACCCGGTGTCCCAGCCACAATCACAAGCGACGAATTGCCGCATTATACTAGATGGCTGCTGGCGACACTATTACCACATCTAATCGCTAAAAAGCTGTCCATCGAAGGGGTCTATAGTATGGCTGTCTCACAGCCTGACCAGATAAGAGATGTCATACTCCGATGTATGTCCTATCAGGACAAAACTCAAATCATGCAGGCCCTGAAAGGCAGAACCCCATTGGCCTTCAAAGGTGCATCCCTCTCCTTCTTCCAAGACCTCACAAGGGCCACACTCCTATGGCGCAAATCCATGGCTCCTGTCACATCCCAGCTGAGAACTGCAGGGCTGGCCTACCGTTGGGGACCACCTGGAACCTAACTGGCTACACATAATGGGACTGTGCACACTCTGGCATTCAGGGAGGATATACCTACCTTCTTCACATCGCTGGGACTGGAGGATCAGAGAGTAGGACCATCCACAACAGCACTCCTGAGATCCTGCCACCATCATCCCATTCACCCCAAGAGCTGGCATATGTATGGCGTATGTATCCTTCCGTGATGTGCCAAAACAGTTGTGTTACATCATTCATGTTTTCTGTTATGCATTTCCTCCCCACAGCAAACCGGCATAGGGTTATGATGTGTGGTTTATTACGGGGTCCCGGGTTTATTAATCTCCCCTCCCCCACTAGTCCCTTGGGTAGGGGAACCTCAGACGGAGGGGTATAGCACTCTACCCAATTAGTTCACATCCTGCTGCCCGCTGCACACTGGGCCGCACAGTCTGCCCAACGCCCACCTCCTTATAATCTGCACTCCCTAAGTTTGGGTTAACTACTCTTGCACTTATTAAACAAATACGAGACTAACGGCAAACTCAGTCCCAAACTAGTTAAAACAGTCTCGCTATGCCTCAAATCACTAACACTACCCTTGAGCTTAGAGCCCAGCACAGTTTGGGGGTTTCACTGACCTAAACTTTTTCATGCACCCTTGATAACACCGATCAACAAGCTAATATGTCTAGACCTTGCTTGTAAACTACCGGTAACGTTGTTTTCTCTGACATGCAATGCTCGCATAATACCTTTCTTGAAGAAAAAAAAAAAAGAATGAACACTCATATACCACCTTGACCAATGTCATAACAATGTATGATTTATCTATAGATAGAATAATAGAAACCACAGGTGAAGGTTCAGCCTAAAATTAGGGAGACCCAACCACCCGTGGAGTCAAAAAGACACCTTAACGGACACTCCAGAGGTGTCCTGGGGCTTAACCCCTAAGTTATAAACAAAAAAGAAAAACACTTGACTCGCTGGATAAAACGATCCAGCAGTTTGAGTATAAGCTGGAACTATGGTAATAAAGGTTCAATCTGAAAAAAATAATAATAATTCTAACTGAAATATAGAGAGATTCGTACCCATCCCAAACCTTAGAGCCATCCAATGTGAAGTGATAAATACAAAGCCTTTCGGCTAAACCTCTCGCTTATTGTACCGTGACAGTAGTAAACCTCAGACTCCTGACTTTACTATTAACTAGATAGGTCACAGTCTGTTTATAGTGGTAAATAAATGTCAAATCACGGATACCAGTCCTAGTCCCTAAAAAGGCGACCATATGTATTAAAAAATTAGTCACTTAACCTGGCAACTCTATGATAGCAGTGTACTACTATAAGTAAAGAAAAGCATCTATAGAATATATATGCCTCTCTATCCACATTAATATTAAGTAACTCTATGGTAACACTGTTCTAAGATAAATGCCATGTAGAAAAAGAGCTCTATAAGAGAATGTATCAAAATATTGTTAGTACAAAGTAACCAGTGAGAGAACTTTTGTAGTAATAAAAGGAAAGAAACAATCTCTAGTAATAATGTATCTCCTGCAAAGGTTACTTAATAGATAAAGAATTTTTAGGGCTGGAAAAGAGGTTAGAAAGTTACATAGTGCTAATGTGCAGAACCATACTTAAGATGTTGGTTACCTGCACATAGTGAAAGTGCCCAGTGTAAAAAAAAATGGAAAAAAGTACATATGGTCGCCTTTTTAGGGACTAGGACTGGTATCCGTGATTTGACATTTATTTACCACTATAAACAGACTGTGACCTATCTAGTTAATAGTAAAGTCAGGAGTCTGAGGTTTACTACTGTCACGGTACAATAAGCGAGAGGTTTAGCCGAAAGGCTTTGTATTTATCACTTCACATTGGATGGCTCTAAGGTTTGGGATGGGTATGAATCTCTCTACATTTCAGTTAGAATTATTATTATTTTTTTCAGATTGAACCTTTATTACCATAGTTCCAGCTTATACTCGTTATATCCAGCGAGTCGAGTGTTTTTCTTTTATGATTTATCTATGCTTTGCTTTTCCTTAACGTAATTAACACTATCTCAATCAAAGAAAGAATAAAAAAATTTTTTAAAAAAGAACTGATATTAACACAGAGCTCTGGCTCCCAGTTTTCAGTACGGGAGCAGGATCCCTATGAAATCAGCGGTCTAAACCCCTAAACATTTTGTGTCCCTTGGATTTTCAAATTCCCTAAAGGAGGTTTGCAGAGTGTTCGTTTGGAGACGCCTGCGTCTTGTATTTTTTTTTTCCATCTGGTTATCACCTTTTCAATGTTGTCTTATTATTAAAATGTTTATGTTCCATTTTAACTATAATTCAAGTAAAATCCGATGATAAGACAGGTTCTGGATATTGTGTGCTGTACAGCTTCTCATACCCTTTGGAAATGTTCTATACTACATGTTCAAATACGCATAATATAAAATAATTCATTCTGAAAATCAAATCTAAAAAGCTTGATATTTGAATAATGACATTTTTCAAAAGTGAATCTATATGGAAATGGCATCATAAACAGCAAAATGTGTTTCTGCATAAAATGTATTCATTAAGTTGAGCTGGATGGAATAAGATATTTAAATAATATTGTTGTACAAATACAGAATGGACTCGGCCCTATAAAGAGACCGTCTACAGTACAAACCATTTGTTTCGTTTATTATTATTGACATTTATATAGCGCCAGCTTATTCCGTAGCACGTTACCATAGTATAAGTTGTAGTTTGTTTTTTGGTGGGTCGAGTGGGGCCAGCAGTGTTCAATAAAGAAACATACCATTTGTTTTATGATTTTAAAAGCCGAACTGAGATTTTCACAATGAATACTTGATGCAATAATATACAAAAAAAGACTGCTTGCGTCTGAAGGTCCTGCATTTGCTGCAAGTTCCCAGGGCTCCTACAGGAAGTTGTCCTAAAAGCAGAAAGTGCCTTGGCCAACCATATTGATACAACTTTCGGTATTTCTGCTTATTCCAGCAAGGGTTTCAAAGAGTTGTAGTTCAACCGTCAGCTTTCTACTATAGTTGCTACACCTCAAAATTCCTGAGATTATGCACAGCAGGGTTTTTTTTTTAATAAAGCAAAAAGTGACTACACTGCAGGCTAGGAAACTTACCTTATATGCAGGACTATCCTGGTCTCTCCACAGCTACCACTTCTCCTCTTCTGAGATCACAAGGTCAGGACAATCCAGAAGCAATAGAATCCTATGCAAATGTGATGCTTCAAGAGAAGCATGGAATCCAATGTTTCTCTATGTCAAGAATTCACAGCATTCTGCAATGGCGAACGCACAACTTTGAATAACGGACTGATCGTCACGAGAGGTGTCCTTGTAACGTGTTTGAAAGGGGACTTTAAGAAATATAAAACCAGGTCAAGCCTTTCACCACTTAAAGCAGATTACCTTTATTTGCATGCAACACATTGTCTATGGCTCTGCTAGGCATCTGTGCTTTCCTTCTGCGTTTTCAAGGTGTTTATAGTAAATTGGATAACAATTTAAACATTTATTTTTAATAAAGACACTTATTTATGGTGACTGGGACATTAGGAGATTCTTGCTACCTTATGGTATTGGGAGAGAGATGGCAGTAGCAATCTGAGTGGCGGCCATTGGAGGGCAGTGTTAATTTTGTAGAAAAACAATTTTAGTCAAATTTGAGTAGACTAAAATTTTTGAGATTTAGTTGACTAAAACAATCCAGATGACTGAAATATGGCCAAAACTAAATTGAAATTTGCTGCCAAAATTAACACTGCACAGAGGGGCTGTTGAAGGGCAAAAGAGACATACGAGGGCTTAGGAGAGAGACACCTAGAGGGGTTGGGAGGACACAAAGAGACACAGAGAGGCTGGGGAAAGGGCAAAAGATAAAAAAAAAAAAAAAAGAGTCTTTAACGGAACCCACTGATTCTAGTCATGTCGACTAAAACCTACTGGAGATTTAGTCAACTAAAACAATTAATGACTAAAATGGCATTTTAATCAAAAGACTATGACATGAAAATGACTGCAAGGGATGATTATATTCACCAGAACAAATCCAGTGAGTGAAAAAAGTATTTGATCACCTGCTGATTTTGAACGTTTGCCAACTGACAAAGCAATGATCAGTCTATAATTTTATTGGTAGGTGTATTTTAACAGTGAAAGACAGCACACACAAAGAAAAATCCATAAAAACGCATGTCAAAAAAGTTATAACTTGATTTGCATGTCAATGAGTGAAATAAGTATTTGATCCCTTCGACTTCGTATTTAGTGGCAAAACCCTTGTTGGCAATCACAGAGGTCAGATGTTTCTTGTATTTGGCCACCAGGTTTGCACACTTCTCAGAAGCAATTTTGTCCCACTCCTCTACGCAGATCCTCTCCAAGTCATTAAGGTTTCAAGGCTGATGTTTGGGAACTCGAACCTTCAGCTCCCTCCACAGATTTTTTATGGAATTAAGGTCTGGAGACTGGCTAGGCCACTCCAGGTCCCCATCCACGACCCATTTTCAATGTCCTGGCTGATAGAAGGAGCCTCTCACCAAAGATTTGCCAGTACACGGCCCTGTCCATCGTCCCTTTGATGCGGTGCAGCTGTCCTGTCCCCTTAGCAGAAAAACACCCCCAATGCATAATGTTTCCACCTCCATGTTTGACAGTGGGGAGGGTGCTCTTGGGTTCATAGGCAGCATTTCTCCTCCTCCAAACACGGCGAGTTGAGTTGATGCAAAAGAGCTCGATTTTGGTCTCATCTGATCACAACATTGTAACCCAGTTCTCCTCTGAATCATTCAGATGTTCATTGTCAAACTTCAGATGGGCCTGTCCATGTGCTTACTTGAGCAGGGGGACCTTGAGGGCGATGCAGGATTTCAGTCCTTCACTTGGTAACTATGGTCACAGCTGCCTTGAGATCATTAACAAGATCCTTCCGTGTAGTTCTGGGCTGATTCCTCACCGTTCTCATGATCATTAAAACTGCACAAGATGAGATCTTACATGGAACACCAGACCAAGTGAGATTGGCAGTTTTTTTTATGTTTCTTCCATTTGTAGTCCACTCCAGCCTTGTGTAGGTCTACAATCTTGTCCCTGACATACTTGGACAGGTCTTTGGTCTTGGCCATAGTGGAGAGTGTAGAAACTGATTGATTGATTCTGTGGACAGGTGTCTTTTACAGAGGTAACTAGCTGAGATTAGGAGCACTCCCTTTAACCCCTTCCCGACTGCAGACGGAAATTTTCAGTCAACCTTGTCCTTCAGTTAAGGACCGTTGACGGAAATTTTCCGTCATTTACTAAAGTTAACCCCAGATCGCCTGCGATCGCGGGGTTAACGGTTCTTCCAGTCTGCCTCTGTATTAGAGGCAGACCGGAAGCACCCGATCGGGCTGCCCCAGCACCGGTGCTCGCTCTGACAGGCTGTCAGAGCGAGCACATGTGATAGTGTACTTACCTTCCGCCTCCCTGCATTTCCGGGTTCTGTATGAAGTGCAGGGAGACGGATCAGAGCTGATCCTCTTCTCCCTGTGTAAAAAAATAAAAAAATAAAGTTAAATCCCACCCCCCCTTTCCCCTGCTTTAATAAAATTAACCCCTTCCCTGCCAATTGATCACTGAATACAGTGATCTATTGGCATGGTATACATTTTAATGTCATCTGATTTGTTTTTTAACCCCTGAGGGGTTAAATTTATTTTATTAATTAAATATTTTAAAATTATATATTTAGCTAGCTGGGATGGGTGGACGTTAGTGGGGAATTTGGTGTTAGGCTAACTAGGGGTTAAGGCTAAAAAAAAAAAAGTTTTAAAATAAGCTTTAAAAAGGTAAAAAAAAAGTTTTAGTAACGTTTAACCCCTTTTTTAGAAAATTGGGCAGACTGGATGGGCCGAATGGTTCTTATCTGCCGTCACATTCTATGTTTCTATGTTTCTATGTTTCTTAAGGACCAAACCTCTGGAATAAAAGGGAATAATGACATGTCACACATGTCATGTGTTCTTAAGGGGTTAACTAAAAAAAAAATGTAAAAAAAAATACCACCCCTCTTTACCCAGTCTAAATAAAAATTAACCCCTTCCCTGCCAGCTGATCACTGCCTGCAGTGATCAAAATACAGATCACAGTATTATACTGTAATCTAATTTCTTTTAACCCCTCAGGATTAACTATTTATTTTTTAACCCTCAGGGGTTCAATTTATTTAATTAATTTAAATATTTTATAATTAACCCCTTAAGGACTGGACTGTTTTTGCGATGTTGTACATTTGCTGTTTGTGTTTAGCTGTAATTTTCCGCTCTCTCATTTACTGTTCCCATACAAAATTATATATTGTTTTTTTCAGGACAAAATGGGCTTTCTTTACATACCATTATTTATATAATCTCATGTATTTTAATTTAAAAAAAATAAAAAAATATGATGAAAAATTTAAAAAGATACATGTTTTTTGACTTTTACTTGAAAAATCTTTTACTCATCTACAAAAGCTAATGAAAAAAACTGCTAAATAGATTCAAAATTTTGTCCTGAGTTTAAAAATACCCAGTGTTTACATGCTTTTTTTGCATGTTATAGGGCTATAGGTACAAGTAGGATATTGCGGTTTCAAAACATACATTTTAAAATTTATCAATAGTGACATTGTAACACTATTATCTGTCATAAATCTCTGAATAACACCCCACATGTACATATTTTTTTTAAAGTAGACAACCCAGGGTATTCAATATGGGGTATGTCCAGTCTTTTTTAGTAGCCACTTAGTCGAAAACACTGGCCAAAGTAAGCATTCATATTTGTTTGTGTGTGAAAAAAGTAAAAAAACTAAATCGTTCGCGACATCTCTAGTAACCAACCAGGCCATTTTCAATGTAAAAATATTTGACCCATATATTTGACCTTGTAACTTTCAAAAATGCTATAAAACCTGTACATGGGGGGTACTGTTTTACTCGGGAGACATCGCTGAACACAAATATTAGTGTTTAAAAACTGGAAAACGTATCACAACAATTATATCATCAGTAAAAGTGCTGTTTGTGTGTGAAAAATGCAAAAAAGTCACTTTCACTGACAATATCATCGCTGTGATATGTTTTACTGTTTTGAATCACTAATATTTGTGTTCAGCGAAGTCTCCCGAGTAAAACAGTACCCCCATGTACAGGTTTTAGGGTGTCGTAGAACGTTACAGGGTAAAATACAGTGCTAGCAAATTAAATTCTCTGGAATTTCGGCCTGGGTTGGCAGGCAGGTCCCTCAAATTGCAATCAATAAAATTACTGAATTATGTAAAAATATTACATAAATACGCACGTAGAATTTAAATATATATGCATATTTATATATTTGAAGTCTACGTGTATATTTATATAATTATTTATGTAATTTTGTATATGGACATATGTATATTTCGTATTATTTTTATTTATTTATATATACATAGATATATATATACAAATTCATTCTAAGTGTATTTTGATATATATATTAATTTTAAAATACAGTTCGAATAAAATTTCATATAGATATAATTTTTTAAAAATTTTTATTATTTAAAAAATTTTTATTTAATTTAAATTACTTATTTATATTTTATAATTTTTTAAAATTTTTATTATTTTAAAAAAAATAATATATATTATATATATACACGTGTGTAATTTAATTATAAGTGTATTTTTATATTAATATAAGTACATATTAATATAAAAATACACTTAGTATGACATTATAGATATGATATATAGTCATATTATATAGATATAATATATGTCTATATATCATATATAATTTTTTTTTTTTTTAATTAACATTAACTTTATTTTTTTTACACATGCAGGGAGACTGCCTGTCAGCACAGACAGTCCCCCTGCAGGCAGACACTAGGACACCTATTGTGACCATGTGATCGCTGTGTTGAGGGATCACATGGCCACAGGGGTCCTAATTCAGTGTGGGGAGACTGTCTGGGCTGCAGGCCACGCTAATCAGGTAAGTAACTAGGACCGTTAGGACGGTTCAGGACCGTCATCGGTCGGCAATGGGAAAATGCCGATGACGGTCCTGAACCGTCCTCGGTCCTTAAGGGGTTATATATATTTTGCTGGCTGGAGTGGGTGGGAGTTTTGGGAAAGGGGCGAATTTACTGTTAGTGCTGCTTACTGCTAGTTAGGGGTTAACGGTAAAAGAAAAGTTTAGAGAAAAATTTAAAAAAGTGTAAAAAAAGTTAAGAAAGTGTAAAACATTTAAGAAGTAAAAAAGTTTAAAAACGGGTTTTACAAAGTAAAAAAATATATTAAAAAAAAATGCTCATTACCACTATACTTGGTACAAGCTAGCGGAAAAATGATCCCACGCTAAGGTTCAAAATATGCCTTTTGAATTACCCTGGGATGTCTTCTTTAAGAAATGGTATGCAATTAAGGGGTAATTGGATTATATAGCCTTGTAAAATACTCTAAAATGGGACATGGACACAGCGTAAAAATTCAAAGTTTGAAAAAAACTGGAATGGCTGTGTCTCAAATGTGCCCCTTCAATGTCCACATATACCTGGCAAAGGTACATATGGGGGTATTGCTGTACTCAGCCGACATAGCTGAGCAACATATGAAGCAGTATACAGTCGTGGTACACATAAGGTTTGCAAAATATACTGCGCAAACTCACTTTGTGTGTCAAAAAGGCAGAAGAAAATGCTTATTACCACTACACTTGGTGCAAGCTAGCGGAAAAATGATCCCATGCTAAGGTTCAAAATATGCCTTTTGAAATACCCTGAGATGTCTTCTTTAAGAAATGGTATGGCTTTATGGGGTATTTGGATTATATAGCCTGGTAAAATATTCTAAAATGCAACATGGGCACAATGTAAAAATTTAAAGTTTGAAAAGAACTGGAATGGCTGTGTCCCAAATGTGCCCCTCCGATGTCCACATATACCAGGCAAAGGTACATACGGGGGTATTGCTGTACTCAGCCGACATGGCTGAGCAACATTTTAAGTATTATACAGTCGTAGCACACATACGATTTGCAAAATATACTGTGCAAACTCACTTTGTGTGTCAAAAAGGCAAAAAAACACTTATTACCACTACGCTTGGTACAAGCTAGCGGAAAAATAATCCCACGCTAAGGTTCAAAATATGCCTTTTGAAATACCCTGGGATTTGTTCTTTAAGAAATGGTATGCCTTTATGGTGTAGTTGTAATATGTAGCCTGCTCAAGTGCCCCAAAGTGGGACACGGACGCATCAAAACCCTCCATGAAAATTCACACTTAAAAACCTTAACTTGTCACGTCTCTTTTACAGCACTGTAACTTCACATAATAGTGTCTAGGTCATACATTGGGCATATTGTTTTACTCAGAAGACTTAGCTGAACATAATTTGGGGGGTTTGAACTTAGTGGCACATATGAAATGTACAAAATGCCCAGCAAAAATGTGATCCGTACATAAAAAATGCCCAAAATTATTTTTTAACACATACTTTGGCATATATTGGTGAAAAAATGGGGGCATGTTAAGGCACAATATGCACCATATGAGATACCCTGGAGTGTCTACTTTTACAAATTGTAGGCCTTTGTGGGGGTTTTTGAACAGTCAAACTGCTATAATACCCCAAATTGAAGCATGGGCCCATTAAATCCGCTTCTCATAATTCTACTGTAAATGTTGAAATGGACAGGTCTCCTATATGGCACTGTAGCTTCACGAAATAGTGCCAAAGACATACAATGGGGGTATCGTTGTACTCAGCAGAAGTAACTGAACACAAAATAAAACTTTGTACAGGAATAGCACACACCAACTTTACAAAATACACATGAGAATTTCTGTGTTATAAGTTTGTGTGCCAAAAAACAAATAAAACACAATTTTACTCCAATATTTAGCAGAGGTTGGCGGTGAAATGGCTACGTAGAAAGTGTCAAAACAACCTTAGGTAAATAGCCTGTGATGTCTACTTTATATAAATATATACTTTTATGTGGCAATTTTGTTTTCTTTTATGGCTATTCAGCTTACAAGACAAACATACCAAATTCTAAAATCGCTCCACATTAAAAGTTTATTTTACTCCTTGTGCTTTGTGACCTGTAACTACCAAAAAAAACTTACAATCCCAGACACATTATATATTCTGTAAATCAGAACAACTAAATTAATTTATTTTTAATTACTTTCTTTAACCTGCACTAATTAGGCACACATTATTATTGCAAAAACTGTACAAAAAAATTCTCTCTTTTTTGCCTTTTTCCGTATTTTTGTAATAATAAATAAGCATTTATATATATATATGACATCAAATCAAAGCCCTTTCTGTCCTTTAAAAAACAGTATATAATATGTGTCGGTGCAATAAACGAGAGAGATGCAAATTGCAGTTGAACGCATACAGCAAGAAAATGCAAAAATTGCTTGTATCATTAAGCGTAAGACAAGCTTCTGAAGCTGTGTCCATAAGGGGTTAAGAGAGTGCTTCTAATCTCAGCTCGTTACCAGTATAAAAGACATGTGGGAGCCAGAAATCTTGCTGATTGATAGGGGATCAAATACATATTTCACTCAGTGGAAAATCAATTTATAACTTTTTTGACATGCGTTTTTCTGGATTATTTTTTTGTTATTCTGTTTCTCACGGTTAAAATACACCTACCATTAAAATTATAGACTGATCATTTCTTTGTCAGTGGGCAAACGTTCAAAATCAAATACTTTTCAAGATCATATACTTTTTTTCCTGTTACTGTACATTAAGCTGTAGTCAGGGGCGTTTTAGCCGAGAGGCAAACAAGGCATTTGCCTTGGGCAGCATTTTTCAGGGGGCGGCAAAAAAGCCGCCCCCCAAATGTCCAGGGCAAATGCCTTGTTAGCCTCGCGGCTAACAGACATGCTGGGCGCTGGGCGGCAGTGACGGGCGGCTGACGAGGGAGCTCTTCCTGTGAGCTGACTGCTCAGCTCCCTCGCGCGCCGCAGAGTGAGGCTGGGAGCCGGGATATGACATCATATTCCGGCTCCCAGCCTCACTCTGCGCACAGCTGAGCAGTCAGCTCACGCTCCCTCGCCAGCTGCCCGCCCGCCAATGCCGCCCACCCAGCAGCCACTGGACCACCAGGGAGATAGAGAACCCCTTCCCTCCCCAGCACTCCCAAAAGTAAGGAGGCTGGAGGAGGGGGGAGGTGGGGGTTTAAAAAGTACATGTGTTAATGTGTGTGTGTCTCTTAGTGAGTGTGTGTGTCTGTTAGTGTGTCTCTGCTAGTGAGTGTGTGTGTTTGACTGTGTGTCAGTGAGTTTGTGTTTCTGTTAGCTAGTGTACGCGTATCTGTCAGTGAGTGTGTGTATTTAGAAGGCGGGGGGAAGGGATGGGTGGGGGGTTGGGGTTGGGGCGGGGGGTTGGGGGCTGAGTTTTGTCCTGCCAGGATAACCAGGATACACCACTGGCTGTAGTTGTTCTGGTGACTATAGTGTCCCTTAAAATTGTGTCAATCGAATAAATATTTGATGTGAAACTAAATTCTTATGAACAAAATGAATATAAGTCTGGGTGCACTGAAAGGAACACTATAGGGTCAGGAACACAAACATGTATCCCTGACCCTATAGTGTTAAAACCACCATCTAGCCCCCCTGGGCCCCTCATGCCTCCCTAATCTTACTTGTATTTAGGCCTGAAGCTGTAGCTCTGCATGCTGTTTGCCTCATAAAAACAAGCAGTCTGCTGATCATCAGAAGTGGTAGCCTGATCCCATCACAGTGCTTCCCCATAAGATTGGCTGAGACTGACAAGGAGGCAGATGAGGGGCAGAGCCAGCATGATTCAAACACAGCCCTGGCCAATCAGCCTCTCCTCATAGAGATACATTGAATCAATGAATGACTATGAGGAAAGTTCAATGTCTGCATGCAGAGGGAGGAGATACTGAATGTTTGGATGCATTTTAGGCAGCCATGACCCAGTAAGGATCTCTAAGCCATCTGAGGAGTGGCCAGTGAAGTTATCACTAGGCTGTAATGTAAACACTGCATTATCTCTGAAAAGACAGTGTTTACAGCAAAAAGCCTGAAGGTAATGATTCTACTCACCAGAACAAATTCAATAAGCTGTAGTTGTTCTGGTGACTATAGTGTCTCTTTAATATGAAAGAGGTAAATAATTGTTGAAATTACACATAGCGCAAATTCTAGGGTTTGTTTTGGTGCAGAACTTGTACAATTACCTCTGTCCTTATGGGGTTAACGAGGATGCTTTTTAGAATAATAAAAAACACAACACAATGAATATTAGTGCATTTCCTGCTTGGCTGCATGGAGAGTCTGTTTCACACTTTTAATTGGATCTGGACATGTTCTTCAAAAAAGTATTAAAAAGCCAGAGTCCTGGGAATAGGTGACATTCAGAAGTAGAGGATTCACAGTCCAATGCATTAATAGAAAATAAAGCTATGAAATGTTCAGACTTAACAGGCACATTTTATGATTTCACATATTCGGTTTTAAAACATTGTGAACTAGAATACATAGGGTATCATGGCCGTATATGAGAGAATTCTTCTACCCCAAGGCTCGACAAATCCCAGGCGCCAGGTCACCATGGCTTTTGGGATTTGTCAACTTTTTAGCTAAATAAGCAAATAATGGATCCGGCCGTCCACCCGCGGGAGCATGGAGGCGGCCAGCTAAGTGAGCGTTGCAGCCGGCCGCCCTGAGCTTCATGGAGGCGCCAGCCAAGTGATTGTTGCAGCCGGCCGCCCTGAGCTTCATGGAGGCGGCCGCCTAAGTGAGCGTTGCAGCCGGCCGCCCTGAGCTTCATGGAGGCGGCCAGCTAAGTGAGCGTTGCAGCCGGCCGCCCTGAGCTTCATGGAGGCGGCCAGCTAAGTGAGCGTTGTAGCTAGGCGCCCTGGGCTTCATGGAGGCGGCCGCCTAAGTGAGCGTTGCAGCCGGCCGCCCTGAGCTTCATGGAGGCGGCCAGCTAAGTGAGCGTTGCAGCCGGCCGCCCTGAGCTTCATGGAGGCGGCCAGCTAAGTGAGCGTTGTTGCTGGGCGCCCTGGGCTTCATGGAGGCGGCCGCCTAAGTGAGCGTTGCAGCCGGCCGCCCTGAGCTTCATGGAGGCGGCCAGCTAAGTGAGCGTTGCAGCCGGCCGCCCTGAGCTTCATGGAGGAGGCCAGCTAAGTGAGCATTGCAGCCGGCCGCCCTGAGCTTCATGGAGGCGGCCGCCTAAGTGAGCGTTGCAGCCGGCCGCCCTGAGCTTCATGGAGACGGCCAGCTAAGTAAGCGTTGCAGCCGGTCGCCCTGAGCTTCATGGAGCATCAAGGCGGTCGGCTGAGGCAGCGTGCAAGGGAGCAGTGATCTTCTAGCGGCTCCTCTCTGCTCCCTCGCGCTGTTTAATGATGCCGGGAGCCGGAATATGACGTCATTCCGGCCCCGGCAGCACAGGGAGCAGAGAAGAGCTGCATGGTAGATTACTGCTCCCTCTCACACAGGAAGAGAGAGCAGCCCCACTAGACCCCAGGGAACGTCCACTCAGCACGCCCGAAAGGTAGGGAGGCTGAGCGGATTTAAAAAAAAAAAAAAGTAAAATTTGTATTTGAGAAAGTGTGTGTGTGTATGCGCCTGTCAGTGTATGTGCGTGTGCCCCTGTCAGTGTATGTGTACGTGCGTGTGCGCGTGCCCCTGTCAGTGTGCGCATGTATGTCTGTTTAGGTACCTGCGATCAGGAATGGTGTTTTTACTCACCCTTTTTTCCCCACGATGTGAAGGTTTTGCCGTGGGTTGTCCCGCCTCCATTGTTGAGTTCATCAATCTTTTTGATCTCAGCTAAGACAATGCTTTCCCATAGGAAAGCATTGGGAGGATATAGCGCATGTTCTGTATGGGTAACATTCAGCGCGTCCATGCAGAGCACTGACACAGGACTCTCTAGTGGCCATCTGAGTGACTGTCACTAGAGGTCTTAGTAGGCAGCAATGTAAACACTGCCTTTTTAACGAAAATGCAGCGTTTACATTGAAAAGGCTACAGGGACAGGCTATAGGCACCAAAACCACTACATTAAGCTATAGTGCCCCTTTAAAAAAAAAAAAAAAAAAAACTTTTTTAGCTGGCTCCTAGATTCCAAACAAATTTGTCAAGCCCTGTTCTACTCTACCTGTAAACACATAGCTATGCACACTGGATCAGGTATGTGTCTGGAAAACATTTTTTCTAATAAGAATAAATTAAATTTATAATAAATTTACAGCCAGGCACCTCCTGAGAGTGGAAATAGTACACATCTGGTTTAGATTATAAAGAAAATATTTCCATCACTGTTAGCAAGACCACAAGCAGAGAGGGACATTACAGAAAACATAGTATTTATAAATGAATACACCGTGAAAAGATTTAGAGACAATTCCTAACAGCGAGTGAGTAGTCGAAAATGGCAGATCTGAGAATATCTTATCTGAATACACTTTGAATATGTTCCAAGTCAGGATGTTAAGAGAACATTTATTCTGCCAACTGCCTCTCTCTGAACATTACTTGGGACTAAAGTGTGCAGCAGCAGCTTCAAATG